AGAGAGAGAGAGAGGGGAGAGAAAGAGAAAGAGCGAACGCGTTTCGAACAAATGGTGAAGGTATTGACATCGGATAGCTTTCAATAATATAATATATATATACGGCGGTGATGAAACCTATTATCTATCTATCTATCTACTAAACGTTGTGAGGATTCGCATTGTTGATGATTTTGCTGTGTCAACTATGCCTACTGTTCGTAATGTACAATGCGGACCTGTAGGGTAATATTATACGATATATAATATATATGGAAGTGATTTTTGTGTGCCTCACGAAACGTTGTTGTTGTTGTTGTTGTTGTTGTTGTTGTTGTTGTTGTTGTTGGTTTCGTTATCGTTGTATAGATATGATTATTTCAATCGGCGTGTATGTGTGTGTGCGTGTGTGTGTGCGCGCGAGCGCGTGTGTGTGCATGTATGTGCGTGCGCAAGCATGTGTGTGCGCGTGCGCGAGCGCGTGTGCGTGCGTGTGCGTGCGTGTGCGTGTGCGTGCGTGCGTATGTATGCGTATGTCCTTGCGGATTCAGACATGTACAGACACTATGTGTTTTTCTACAGTAGATAAAAGATTTTGGTCCTCGCTTGACACAGCGCCCCTTGCTCTCTCCCCCGCCCCCCCCCACTCCGAGGTCGGAGGGACCGCATGCGCGTTCCCAAAATCTCCGGTAATGGAGTATTTTTCGCGCGACAAGATTTCCGGCCCAAGAATTGTAAAAAAGGGGGTGTATTTGACTTTTTACCCGGAGATTTCTTTAAAAAGGGGGTGTTTTTCCTCTCTCTCTTTCATCTTGAATATCATAAAAATTGAAAAATTGACAAAAAATAAAAACCTGTGCATCAGACTATGAAAAGTCATTGTTGTGCTTGAGGGTAGCTATTGGGTTTGCTATTGTTGTGTACTCCATCATGACATCATCGGGGAACCCTCTATTGTAATGCCAGCTTACCTGAGATGAGGGAGGGTGTCTGTCCTAAGATAGAGGGTTGGAATGAGAGCTCACCTGAGATAGGGGGTAGATTGCGCAGTATTCCGGATATAGGGGGGGTCTGCAAGGCAGGAAAACCCTGCAAAAAGCCCTCGAAATGGGGGTTCAAAAATTTTGGCAGTCGTGAGATAGGGGGTGCTTTCAAAGGGAGGAAACGAGCATATGCGTACACTAAATAACACTGAGTGGGGGGGGGGGTGCTCTCCCCCACTTTCTTACAGGGGGCGCTGCAC